TCAAATTGAAGTTAATTTTTTTCTCAATGTGTATCCCTCACCCAACAAAATATAAGCCAGATACTGTATATAATATATGCTGAAAAGGGAAAGGATAATGAGAAATTGTTGCCATATTAAAGGGGTTTAGAAATGTCTGGGATTTGACAAGCAAACCAGCCCTAATAACAGAGTGACATACATATATAAACATATCTATGTCTGGGGCCAGCGCTGTGGCACAACAGGTTAAAGCCCTGGCCTGAGGTGCTGGCATCCCATATGGGTACCAGTTCTAGTCCCGGCTGCTCCTCTTCAGATCTGACTCTCTGCTATGGCCTGAGAAAGCCATAGCTTTCTCTACCTCTCTACCTCTCTCTGTAACTCTGTCTTTCAAATGAATAAAAATAAATCTTTAAAAAAAACACAAACATATATATGTCTGAATCCCTATTTCTAGAGAGTTAGTTGCGCCTTAAGGCATGTAGGATTGCTATCCCTGGAGAAGGCATGGAGTACAGGGTTCCAAAGCAAAATCCCTAGGGAACATTAGCAACTGAGGGACTAGCAGAGGTGAGGGCCACAATGGAGACTGAGAAGGAGTTTCAGAGCTACGACTTTTTAAAAATGTCTTACTTCTTTATTTATTTGAAAGGCAGAAACACAAAATAGGCAGGTCAGCATATAATACATTTTAGAAATACTCTGGCAGAATTTTTTTTCTTTTTTTTTCTTTTCTTTTTTATTTTTTTATTTTTTTTTTTTTTTTGACAGGCAGAGTGGATAGTGAAAGAGAGAGACAGAGAGAAAGGTCTTCCTTTTGCCGTTGGTTCACCCTCCAATGGCCTCCACGGCTGGCGCGCTGCGGCCGGCACACTGCGCTGATCCGAAGGCAGGAGCCAGGTGCTTTTCCTGGTCTCCCATGGGGTGCAGGGCCCAAGCACTTGGGCCATCCTCCACTGCCTTCCTGGGCCACAGCAGAGAGCTAGCCTGGAAGAGGGGCAACCGGGACAGAATCCGGCACCCCGACCGGGACTAGAACCCAGTGTGCCGGCGTCGCTAGGTGGAGGATTAGCCTATTGAGCTGCAGTGCCGGCCCTGGCAGAATTTTTTAAAAGTCTAAGAATGGGGGCCGGTGCTGTGGCATGGTAGGTTAAGCCTCCGCCTGTGGTGCCTGCATCCTATATGGGTGCTGGTTTGAGTCCTGGCTGCTCCTCTTCTGATCCAGCTCTCCACTATGGTCTGGGAAAGCAGTAGAAGATGGCCCAGGTGCTTGGACCCCTGCATCAGTGTGGGAGACCTGGAAGAAGCTCCTGGCTCCTGGCTTCAAATCAGCCCAGCTCTAGCCATTGCAGCCATCTGAGGAGTGAACCAGCAGATGGAAGACCTTTCTCTCTGTCTCTCCCTCTGTCTATAACTCTACTTTTTCTCAAATAAATAAATAAAATCTTTAAAAAAAGAAAACATAAAATGTAAAAGGCTAGACTTTCCCTAGCTACTGAAAATCCTATTGTCCAAATTAATGCCACTTCTAAGAGTTCTGGATAACTAATAAGAAATTTGATGTTATTAATAATTCCTACCAAATATTATAACTATAATTTTTCAATATTCTGTTTCTAATCCTTACAAACTCTTAATAACTTTTCCAAATAGATGTTATAACCTACACTTAAAATATAAGAGAGAGCGGACAAGCTTTGTGGTGTAGTAGTTAAAGCTGCTGCCTGTGATGCTGGCATCCCATATGGGTGCCTGTTTGAGTCCCAGCTGCTCCACTTCCTATCCAGCTCCCTAGTAATGGCCTGGGAAAATCAGAAGATGACATAAGTGCTTGGGCCCCTGCCACCCTCATGGGAGACCCACCTGAAGCTCCTGGCTTTGGTCTGGCCCAGCCTTGGCTGTTTTGGCCATTAGGGAATAAACAAACAGATGGAAGATATCTCTCTGCCTCTCCCTCTCTCTCTGTAACTCTTTCAAATAAATAAATCTTTAAAAAATATATAAGAGACAACAGCATTTTCCTTAGCAGTTAATACTGTTATGTCCCGTATCAGAGTACCCAGGTTCAACTCCTGGCTCTGGCTCTAACTCAGCTACCTACTAATGCAGACCCTGAGAGACAGTGGTGATGGATCAAGTAATAGGGTTTTTGTTTGTTTGTTTGTTTGTTTTGACAGGCAGAGTAGACAGTGAGAGAGAGAGACAGAGAGAAAGGTCTTCCTTTGCCGTTGGTTCACCCTCCAATGGCCGCCATGGCCGGCGCACCGCGCTGATCCGATGGCAGGAGCTAGGTACTTATCCTGGTCTCCCATGGGATGCAGGGCCCAAGCACTTGGGCCATCCTCCACTGCACTCCCGGGCCACAGCAGAGAGCTGGCCTGGAAGAGGGGCAACCGGGACAGAATCCGGCGCCCCGACCGGGACTAGAACCCGGTGTGCCGGCGCCGCAAGGCGGAGGATTAGCCTAGTGAGCCACAGCGCCGGCAATAGGGTTCTTGCCACCCATGTGGCAAGACCAGGTCTACAGACACTCCCCCAAAGTTAGAATAGGCACAGATATTTTTAAATTGTAGGCCTCCTTTCTGAAGAACTTTGAACAACCACTGAAGGTTCTCAAAAGGTCTGTATAGGTTCTACCTAAAAGGGCAGGGGGTAGAGAGAAGGACTGGACTAATGAAGAGTAGACAGTGTGGAAAGCTACCAAATGCAGCATCACAAAGATGGAGTCGTGGAGACTATCGTATCAGAAGTTGGCTCATGAGCAATAACAGCAGAGGCTGCCATGGAAGATGTGAGATGAACTAGAAACCAAAGTAGTGACTAAAGGATGTGGAAAAGGAACACTGATTCAGGGTCCCATTAATGCAAAAGTTCTAGGACCCTCTGTGCTACAGTTTCCTTAGATGTCATACTCAAGGTAAAATAATACCTAACCACAAAATTTTACCGTTAAGATAAGGTGATATTAAATAGAACACTTGGCACAATCTTGTGCACACAACCAGTGTCAAAAACACACAAGTGGAATGAGAATTATATCTATATTTGAATAACACTTTGAAGGATAAAACATCTAAAGCAAATGTAGGATAACACTATTTAACAATGACTCTATGTAGCAGATGGAATTCATAATAAATCATGTAGATTCTAAACACATATTTTAAAGGAACTTCTGAGCTTGATAAATGAAAGGTATGTAAATGTTCATTTTTTTAAAGCCTTAATATACTTTCAAATAAATGAACAGATAGGATGAAAATATAAATATGCTGAAGCATTATAATTAATGCCTCATCTCTTTCATCTCTATAATTATTTAGGCTGTTTAATATGTTAGTAAATGTTAATATTCTCATGAATTCTTCCTAGTTAATGATAGTAAATTAATGTTGTAAATGATTTTATTATATTAACCAGGAATAACAGTCAACACTGTTATTAACACAGTATACCCATTTTTGCAATTCTCATCAATTCCAAATAGTTCAGGACCAATGAACTAGTTGGCTTTCATTATTTCAATAATTATAATAATAATAATAGTAAAATAATAATTCCACTATTATAAAGTTACATAGAGCTATAGAGTTTACAAAGTACTTTCATACATGACACAATCTCATTCTGTAATGTAAGAAAAACTGAATGAGTTTAAGACCAGATCCAAGTGGAGGTAAATGGAAGCAAAAGAGGGTGTATGCACACAGATTCAATGCTGCCTGCAGTAGACTGCACCTGCCTCTCAACCAGCAGTGTAATGCAGAAGACATTTCAAAGGAGCTACTCAAGAACCTTGCCCCTCTAACACAATGAGGTGATGTAAGATTTTAAAAGTAATGACAATGAGCTTACAAAACATACTCTATGAGGCTGGACGCACAAGGTGGATAATCCAAGGCACAGAGAATTACCCATTTATAATATGGAACAAAGCACCAGTTTACAATACGGGTGCACCTGACAGTGTGATAGATAATTAAAGCTCCTTAATGTCTGAATGCCAATTTCTAGCTCAGGCAACCATTTCCACCAGTTCCAATTGGAGATAAGTGGGAGAATATGTTCCCCTTTCCATTGTGTGCAGGAGCTAGGATTTTCAACTATCATGAACAGAAAGAACCCCCACATATTGTTAAAAAAGAAGGTGACCACTGCATTGCATGCACACATTTTATTTGTGCAAGGGAAGAATTTCAGACAAATGTTTTCTCAGGCTTTGGTCCATCTCTTTGCCATCCACTCAGTTGACCCTACAGAATTTGATCCATTGCTAGAGTTAGAAGAGATTCTATAAGATTGGATGGGAGTAGGGGTTCCAGGACTTGCTGCGCTTAGGCAACAGAGAATAAAAGAGGAATGGAGTAAGAGAAGGAAAGTAATTAAACAGACTTGATCTCACAGTGCCAAGTCTCACCTGGTTTTACAAGACTTATCTAAGATCCAACTTGCTGCTCACATACCCAGGAGGCAGTGGATGATGGCTCAAGTACTTGGGCCCCTGCCACCTATGTAGAGACCAAGATGGGGTTCCTGTCTCTTGGCTTCAGTTTGGTTTAGCCCTGGTTGTTGCAGCCCTTAGAGGAGTGAAAGATAGATGGAAGATCTCCCTCTCCTTCTTTGTTTCCCTCACCATATCCCTGTATCTGACTTTCAAATAAATAAATAAAATGTTAGGGGAAAAAAACCAGATATTTTCCAACTCATGGTGGTAAAAGAAGAAGTTCAATCAGTAAGCTTTTGTGGGAATCATGCCTTCTGGCAACCGAAAGTCAATATGAAAGAATTACTAATGCACTTTAAAAAAAAGAGACAACAGTCATCATGTTAACAGCAACTGAAGATTACCCGATACCTAAATAGCTTCTTTTCAGATTCACTCAGTAGACTATCATGCAGTGATGTATCACTGGGTGAAGCAAAATTCAGAGCGAGACTTAATTCTGGAAACAACCTGGAAATATGTGTTCAAATTTGCTGCTTCTGAAAACATCCACAGTGATTCTGGATGTGCGTACCCGTGGGGTGTCTGATTGGGTCCTCCGAGCCACCATGAGTAAGAGCTGTTGTTGAAGAGCACTGACAGCAGGGTCCCCGGAAGACGGATCTGGACTCTCAGAAGTTGTGGTACTGGAGGAGCTGATCTGCATCTCTCTGAGGGTGGGCAAAACAAAAGTTTTTATTATAAACCAACAGGACACTAGTGAAGCCCAGTACAGATAGTAGATGAACTTCTACAACCTTACATATGCAATTCAGAATAAAGTATTTTGTATACAAGGCTCCCTTTTGGCAGAACATCAATCATCCTGCACTTATTTGGGCTTTCCAGGGTTGGAGTATGCCATGAGGTAGTTAGGTACATGCCTGTATGATAACAGAGGACAACCTACATTTTCTTTTTCTTTTTTTTTAAGTTCTTATATTCTCTTGCATAGTAGGGTAACTATAGGTAATGATCATATACTCTGTATTTCCAAAAACCTGGAAGAAAGTAAGTATTTTGAATGTTTCCACCACAATAAAATGATATATGCATGAGCAGATGGGCTTACTCTGATTTGAACATTACACAATGCACACGTGAATCAAAGTATCACATGGTATCTCATTAATAGGCACAATTTTATGTATCAATTTAAATTTTTTTAATTTATACATATTTAAATGGAGAGAGAGGTAGTAGCAACAGGTTCTAGACTCATCTTTTGTGAAAACAATAAGTCGTGGGCTTAATAATTCCCCAGACACCAATAAGGAAGAAACAGTGATTACCAACACTCTTCATCTTCTCCCCCTCCTACCCCAAAGAAAGGAAAGTACATATTGGATCAAAGAAATGCCTCAGGTAATTGAAAAGAACACATTAGTATATTAGCTATGATATATCTCTAAATATTTTACTATCTTTAATCACATTTATAGATTGACAAGACTTAAATGAATAGAACTCTTTCAGCAAACTCAATCCTGGCATTCTTCCTTTGGCTCAGAAAGTGAAAACTAGGACATAAGGACATATATTTACTCCTTCTGACTCTCTAGCAAAGTGCCTGTACCTAATTTGGTTGCTTAACCAACAGCCATTTCTAACAGAATTAATGCTAACATAACCCCATTCCATTCATTCAAGACTATATGCTTCAGAACAGGGATATGGTCCTTTCAGCTGACCAGTTCTTGGCTTTGGAATAAAAGGTCATCAAGAGCAAAGAAAGGTCAGCTTGAGATAGAGGAAGTCATAGACAAGGTTTTTTAGATGTTAAAAAGTAACAAAATTCCTCCTGGCCTTTAGATGCTACAAGAGTAAGAAGCACATAGAACTACAGCAGCCACTTTGCCATCATGAGTGTCAAGCCAAAGGGCCACAGAGCTGGAAGATGAGCTGGTTTCTTGAAAACAGCATCAAGTGTTGGAATCCACCAGTATTGTTCTCATCAAAACTTTGGGCTTCCTGTTTTCTGAGGTAATACATCTCATTATTTAACCCATTTTGAATGGATTCTTACGATACTTGCAGCCCAAGCAACAGCAGCTAATACAGACTCCTCAGGAGTATAGATGTTACAATAATGGAATCACTTTTCATTCTTAAAATTTATGTATTGGGGCTGGTGCTGTGGCACAGTGGGTTAACATCCAGGCATGAAGCACTAGCATCCCATGTGGGCGCCAATTTGAGACCCAGATGTTCCACTTTCAATCCAGCTCTCTGCTATGGCCTGGGAAAGCAGTAGAAGATGGCCCAAGTCCTTGGGCCCCTGCACCTGCCTGGGAGACCTGGAAGAAGCTCCTGGCTCCTGGCTTCATATCGGCACAGCTCCAGCCGTTGTGGCCATCTGGGGAGTGAACCATCGGATGGAAGACCTCTCTCTCTCTCCCTCTCCCTCTCTCTCTGCCTCTCCTCTCTCTTTGTGTAACTCTGACTTTCAAGTAAATAAATAAATCTTTACAAAAAAAGATTTATGTATTTATTTGAAACACAGAATTACAGAGAGAAAGAGATCCTCCAGCCACTGGTTCACTCCCCAAATGGCCACAACAGTCAGGTCTGGACCAGGTCAAGGCCAGGAGCCAGGAGCTTCATACGGGTCTCTCACACAGGTGCAGGGACCATTCTCCACTGCTTTCCCAGGAGCATTAGTAGGGTGCTGGATTGGAGTTGATGGGACTCCAACCAGAGTCCATATGGGATGTTTGAGCTGCTTCTTCCGAGTCTTAACCCACTGCACTCCTGTGCCAGCACCACTTTCTGCTTTTTATTCCAGACATTTCATGGTAAAGCTTCTGATAAGTTTTAAGAACCTTCTTTCATCTAATTTATTAATATTGTAGCAATAAACATACAAGTACTTACTCTATATGGACAATGTTTAAAATATTTCTGGGTGGGACCAGCACTGTGGCACAGTGGGTTAATGTCCTGGGCTGAAGCGCCGGCATCCCATATGGGCGCCGGTTCAAGATCCAGCTACTCCACTTTCCATCCAGCTCTCTGCTATGGCCTGGGAAAGCAGTAGAAGATGGCCAAGTCCTTGGGCCCCTACACCCATGTGGGTTAGTGGGTTAAGACCCAGAAGAAGCTCCTGGCTTCAGATCGGGGCACAGCTCCGGCTGTTGCGGCCAACTGGGGAATGAACTAGCGGATGGAAGACTTCTCTCTCTCTTCTCTGCCTCTCCTCTCTCTGTGTAACTCTGACTTTCAAATAAATAAATAAATCTTAAAAAAAAATATTTCTGGGCCAGCGCTGTGGTGTGGAAGGTAAAGCTGCCACCTGCAGTGCCAGCACCCAATATGGGCACCGGTTCGAGTTCCAGCTGCTCCACTTCCAAACCAGCTTTTTTCTGGGAAAGCAGTAGAAGATGGCCCAAGTCATTGGGCCCCTGAACCCACGTGGGAAACCTGGAAGAAGCTCCTGGCTCCTGGCTTTGGATCGGCAGAGCTCCACCGTTGCGGCCAATTGGGGAGTGAACCAGTAGATGAAAGACCTCTTTCCCTCTCTTTGCCTCTCCTCTCTCTTTGTGTAACTCTTTCAAATAAAAATAAATATTAAAAAAAAAAAGTGAAACAACCAAGATGTGTAAAAATTTCATCCTTGTGTTAAAAAATAAAATATTTCCATTATTTCCTACACACAGGAAGCTCATAATTCTAAGACATAATTTCTGGCTGATGATAAATTCAATAAAATTTTCTTTAAAAAAACCACTTAGGAGACATATAATAAATATCAGGGTTTAGGAAGTGAACCAAAAGGCCTAAGTACATTAAATCTGAAAACAAAATCCTGTCCTTCCATTATTTGGATGATTGCTCCTGACAGTGCCTTTCCTTTCTGTCTATATTAGTGGTATACTCACTGTCACAAAAGGACAAAAGATCAGCTAGATTTATAAAAACAATGTTCATTCAAGCTTCTCAGGTTTGCAAAGAAACTACTCAGTAATATAACTATCATTTCACATTGAAATACACAGGACTGGAAGCACCTTATTAATATAAATCCAAAGGAAACTAAATCTCAGCACATGCCAGAACTTCACTAAAACCAAAAAATTAATCTGACAGCATTGAAAGTAAGGTAGGTAATGATTATAAATAGACAGGAAATAAAAACACATACTTCTATGCAAAAATCTACAAGGTGTATGGCACCCTCTATTGCCAACTAAAATAAACTAAGAATTGACTGTTGTATCAACAGTCAACCGATTTGCTGCTAGGAAATGTGATACATAAGGAAGTGTCAGCTTAATTTTTCTTTATTCCTTAGTACTTTTTTTTTGAGATTTATTTATGTATTTGAACGAATGACAGGGGGAACATAGAGAGCATCTGCACGCTGTTTTACCCTCTGGCTCACTCTCCAAACGGCTACAACAACCAGCACTTGGCCAGGCTGAAGTTGGGAGCCTGGAACACCATCTGGGTCTCCCACGTGGGGCTGGATTGGAAGCAGAGTAGCTGGAACTCAAACTGGCATTGTGGGCTACAGGCATCCCAAGCAGCAGCTTAACTTGGTGTGTCACAACACTCACCCCTACCTAGCACATTTTCTGGTTGCTAAATAATAATAAATCACATTATTTTCATATATAAGCCATTTAGATATTAAAAATCTAAGGTTTGATGTTCTTTTCAAGATCTTTTGGATGAGCTGTAGAATTAAACAGAACTAGATTTAAGTTATTGCTCCATTATTTACTGTGACTATAAACTTTATTCTGCTACCTCAAATTCTTGACTATAAAAAAGAGAAAATATTTTCCTCCTGAGGATTGCTGTGATAATGAAAGCAGACTATGTCTGTGAAGCACTAAATAGTGCCTCCCCTATATTAGTCACATAATTACCATCCTTGATCTGTCTACTTCCTTTTGTTGATATAAGACCTGGTTGATCTAAGACTTGCTTATTTATTCTCACATTAAATTACAATATGGCCTCTATACTTTACCACAAATAATACACTAATACCATTTGTCTCTAGTAACAGGCACAGGTGAAGAGTATGTTGGCCTCAACTCATACCCAACCTTCTTTATAAAGACATATTGAAGCAGCATATTAAATTCCCTATTAATTAGCCTGTTTTATAATAGTTGATCATCCTAGACAAACCATGAGATATGGGCTCCCTGTTGAGTCAGAAGGAGATCACAAGCTTCAATACAATAAGCATCACTCCAATGGCAGACATTTATTCCCTTACTTAGATACAGTTCTCTAGGGTCCTGGTGGTATAGTCCTAATCCATGTGCACCAGCTTTCCCACCCAAGTACTAGAGGCCAAGATATCCACAAAAATCACTGGCATGAACAGCTAAGCAGGAGTCCCCCCACCAATCTTTGAAGACTTTCTAAGTCTACCTCTTTGCTTGTATCTCTTCTTAGATTACCTGGTGCTTATTCTCCCTTTTTTAAAATTATGGACTAGGTTCTGAAAAATCATCTTAAAAAGACCATGTTTTACTAAGTAAAAGTCAAAGATTTCTCCCATATTAATAAATACACTGTGAAAGTGCTAAGTGTCAGGCTGATGTTGTGGCACAGTGGGTTAAGCTGCCGCCTGTGGTGCCAGCATCCCATTTGGGATCTGGTTTCAGTTCTGGTTGTTCCACTTTCATTCTAGCTCCCTGCTAATGTGCCTAGA